CATCCATCCATGCATCCATCCATGCACCAATCCATCCATGCATCCACCCATCCATGCATCCACCCATCCATCCATCCATCCATCCATCCATCCATCCATCCATCCATGCATCCATCCATCCATCATTCCATCCATCCATCCATCCATCCATCCATCCATCCATCCATCCATCCATCCATCCATCCATCCATCCATCCATCCATCCATTCAGCCATCCACTCGTCTTTCCATTGAGCGATCGGGCTTGACTTCTGTCGACCTTAGTGAATTTGATGGGGTCGCCTGGTAAAAACCAGAACAGCCAACGCCTGAGCAGGGGTTCCGTTAAATGGAAGCCTGGGTAGGGTTGAGGGATTAGGGTTCAGGGTTTAGGGTTTAGGGTTCTAGTAAATATCCGCTCGTGATGCCAAAGCAAATGCGTATTAGTCTGTTTTGTTCGAATCATTACCCCCAAAAAAAAACCCTAAACCCTAAACACCCTTGTATTGGATGTCTACGGAAGAGGAGAAGCCCTGAAGCCCTGACCACAAGGATTATGCTTTAGCTTGGGGTTTGGGGCCGAAAGGAGCCAGCCAGCCCCGAATCGCTGCAACGTCTACCTCGAGACCAGATCCCTACTGAATCCTTGCAATGTCTATATACTCTGACCTAAACTCCCAGCCCAAAACCCTAAATCCCCAGACCCTCGATCCCTGAGCCCTACACCCTAAACGAAGAACCCGGAAATCCCCCAAACCCTAAACCCTAAACCCTAAACTCCTGATCCCTTGCCACAGAGAGTTCGGCAGTGAAGGTTCCCCAAGGCGCTTCGCTGGCAAGGCCGCAGGGCCCTTTAAGGAAAGGTTTGGGGTTTGGGGGGTTTGGGGCTTGGGGTTTGGGGTTTAGGGTTTTGGGTTTCGGGTGTTGGGTTTTGGGCTTAAGGGTGTTGGGTTTTGGGCTTAAGGGTGTTGGGTTTTTGGCTTAAGGGTTTGGGTTTGAGGTTTAGGCTGTGGCAAGCGATTCGTTCACAAGATTTATGTTTGAGTCTTACAGGGGTGCTAGAAGCGCCCCAACGGTTCCACCGACTCAGGCTTCAAACAGGGTCTGGGTTTAGGGTTTAGGGTTTAGGGTTTAGGGTTTAGGGTTGATGGTCTGTTTTAGTGATGTTCGTTGGTGGTTTCCTTGGGGTTTGGAGTCTTACATCGGCTGCGAGCGAGACCCCTGCACCCTCAACCTGAGAAGCACCAGTTCAACCCACAGACTAAGAACAGGGAAGGCCCGTTTGGGGTTTCGGGTTCAGGGCCGGCAGCAACAGCAAAACACATTCGCGAATATACAACCTAAAGCCCACAGGCCCTGAGTGCACGATCCATGGTTCAGTCGCAACAACGGCATCCCCATCGTCATCCTAATCATCATTAGCACCAGCAGCAGCACACACAAGACTGAACACATCACTGAAACACACAACAGCGATTGTTATGTGTTTACGAATTCTGTTTCTATTCTTGTGGCTATTCATTCAGTGTTAGTGTTTTTGTTGTTATTCGCATCTATTGATACTGGTGTTGTTATTGAAACTGTTCCTTGCACTGGCACTGACACTGTCACTGTTAGTGTTATTGCTATCGCTATCGCATTCGCTGATGTTTTTGCCATTAACTGCGGTTAATGGCTTCGCTTTTTTCTTGCTCTCAGTCTTACGTATAGTTGCCACTAATTTTAGTATTCGAAACACTGTCATCATTTAGTCGTTTTTACTATTACTACTAGTTTACCATGACTAAAGCTATTATTACGTTTATTTATCTTCTTCCTGTTCTTCTTCTCCTTCTGATTATTAAGATAAAGACTAAAACTGTTATTAGTATTATAATTATTACTATTGTTATCATTGTTGTTATTATTATTCGCATTATTATTACTATGTTTCATATTATTATTACTATTACTATTATTTTACTGTTATTATTATTGTTATTATTATGAATATTATTATTATTAACATTAATGGAAACCCGTTGACTCGGAGGTTCGGACCTATGGTCCGGATGTTGACTTAGCCCTCGTGGAAATCGAAGATTCTGTGGCCGAAGATTTTTGGGCCGCTGGGCTGGGGTTTAGGGTTTAGGGTTTAGGGTTTAGGGTTTAGGGTTTAGGGTTTAGGGTTTAGGGTGTAGGATTTTAGGGTTTATGGTTTAAGAGTTTAAGGTTTGTAGGATTTTAGGGTTTAGGGTTTAGAGTTCAGGGTTAAGGGTTTAGGATTTTAGGGTTTATATGGTTTAGGATGTTAGGGGTAGGGAATTGTAGGATTCTAGGGTTTATGTTTAGGATTTTTAGGGGTAAGGTTTAGGAACTGAGGGTTTAGGGTTTAGGATTTTAGGGTTCAGGGTTTGAAGGGACTTAATAGGGCTTGCAGTTAACATGGTAGGGCTGTCGATTTTGGGTCTGTGCGGCACTGTCGGGTTCTTAATTACGATCGAGGGATGTTTAGGACCTTAGGATTTCAGGATTTAGGCTTTACGGTTTTCGGGTTCATGGTCTCAGGATTTCAAGACTCAGGGTTCACGTGCTGGGGTTTTTGGGGGATTGGGGCCGTGGGTTCCTCCAAGGTTTGTAGGGCTTAGGCCCCATAGGGTTCAAGACTGAAAATAGAGGGTTGAGAATAATAGTCGAGATTAAGATTGAGGGTTAGTGGTGATTTGTCGTGGCCCCAACTAGAATGGAGGTCCCAGTGATCTGTAGTCTCCCCTTAATGTCGTTACGTGATTCTACTTGAATTTACGTCAAACACCGAGTCTAAATGTTACTCGTAAATCCCTGTATCAGACCCTGGCGAACCCTATGAAAGCCGTAAGCATATGATTAGTAGGTACTTGGACCCTTAAGGACTTACACGTGTTCCTTCAAGGGATCGATGATGGCTCCTGTAAGGGATCTGTACGGGTTCCTATAGGGTCGACCGAAAAGGAAACTCGAGGCTTCAGGTTTCACAGTCTGCTTAAGGGCTCAGGGATCTTCGGAAGTAGGCGTATAATCGGGGGTCATAAGTCCCCTGAGTGGGGTTCCTAAGCCCTAAGCCCTAAACTATTTAATCATAACCCTTACGTGTGACCTTACTTAGTACGTCCCTTGGGCCTGAACAGGAGCCAGGGCTTCTTGAACCTGATGGAGCTTTGTGAGGAACCCAACAGAAGGCCCCACCCTTCTAAGAAGGACACTAATGGGCACCCTAGTTTAGAGAACCTCCCAGATGTAGAAGATGGAGGGTACTATGGAAGCCTGATGTATTTCTATACTCTAACATACCCCGTTATCATTATGGAGCCCTTGCAGTGCTTGTAAGGAACCGTTTACAGGAACCCTATTGTAATCAAAAAGGCCTCTGTGGTGCATCAAATTTCGGATCCCTAAACAACCCTATACCACTAGGGCGCAGTTGCAGGCGGAGTACGACCAGGATGCAATCGCGAGGGGGGAGCGCGAGGCGATGCTCGTTGAACGAGTGGAGCGGATTCCGGAGGGGAGACCGTGCGCGAAGCCGCGGATAGGTTGACAAGTCCTGAGGATGGTTGAGTTCGTGACGAGTGGCTGGAAGAATGAAGTGGGGCGGATGTATTCGTCCTTGTTGGGGGTCTGAAGAGAACGGCCTAAGTCGTGAGACTTTCTCATGCGGGGGAAAACGGTCCGGTCAACAAAAACACAGTTTTCTGGGTTTTCGCCACCGAGGCCACCGTGGCAGATGCACCAAGAGTAGAGCTTGCGACGTGGCCGCGACATATGGGGTTTGGGACGTCTAGTTTAGGGTTTGGGACTGAGGGTTTAAGGTTTGGGGCGTTGGAATTTAGAACTTAAAGTCTAGTTTCGTCTGGAGCCTCAGTCGACCATGTGAGGAAATACAAATCGAATGGTTGAACCGTCGCCTTAATCGATCGTAGATCCCAAACCTCACGCATCAAAATCAATTGTCCTGTGCAATGATCAGGTGTGGACTTTCGATTCGGGTGATTCTCCGCTTGATCGTTGGTGCCCTAAACCCTAAACCCTAAACCCTAAACCCTAAACCCTAAACCCTAAACCCTAAACCCTAAAAGTGAGGGGTCCTAAGCTGCGCCCGAACCAAGATTGATAGGACGCTTAGCATGAAGGAGCCTTAATAGCTAGGTACAGATAGATGAAAACAGGCCTGTCGGGTTTCGCAGTCGATGTCTGCTCGTTGGTGCGAGGCTTCCGAGCATGTATCAGATAGCCCTAGAAAGTTAGCAGCCGTCTCGTCTTGTAGTCCTTATATATTCAAATCTTACTACGCTATACCCTCAAGACCCTATTCCAATTCTTTTGGCTTTGTTGTGAAGTACACGCAAGGTCTGTATAGATTTGTTTGGGCAACTTTTCTTTGCTCAATCACATTGGGCTTGAGGTTTGGAGTCCTAAGGGTTGGGTCTGTGGGTCATGAAGCCTGACGGGGCGCCCCACAGGAACCCCTACCACTCTTCGAGGAACCTTCATATAGCTTGTTTTTTAAGGACCTATATAAGGAAATTCGAAGAAGGAACCCTGAAAAAAGGTAACTCGTTGAGGGTTAGGGCTTGTAGACCCTTCAGAACCCTAGCGTGCCTGAACTTCTAAACCTTGTCGAGGGGCCACTTACCTTCACAAGTAAAATTAGGGTTTTGGGGTACATCATCCGGTTGAAGATACAAATCCTGCATTGCCTTAAGGACCCTAAACCATATTATACTATATTCCTTTTTATGGGTAATGCAGGATTTATATCATCAACCGTAGTACGCCTGTGCAAAGGAACCCAAACAACAGCATTGGTAGTTATTCCGGCCTTTATAGTGCCTTGCGAGAGCTGGGTCATGCATAAGAATGACCCATTGCAGTTCTCATGTAAGCCTCTACGATAATGCTAATGCTGGAAGTGGAAAGGGTGCGGTATTTTGTGAGGGCGGGGGGTCCAAATATTGAGGCCGACTCCCTTTTTTAGCCTTGGGTATAATGTTGAATGAGTTCATGCATACGATGCTAAGAAGGAGTTCAACCCGGCCCCTCCACCCGCACCTTGATATTTATTGAGTTTCAGAAAACACGGGCCGGAACACAGTATCTACCCAACCAAGCAGGGAGCAAGCAGAAAGGGCCCCGAATTGCCAGCACCTGCCCCACCAGGATGACTCGCCGTCCAAGATCCTGATTAAAGTACTCACACTACGGTTCTAGCGTAATTATGTTGCATTGCTAATTATTCCGACCCCCCTATCAACCTCCGGTGGTGTACCTGCAAAGGCCCTACTGAATCTGGTGGCTTGCCACCCAACAATCCACCCTCAAGCCTTAACCCTATAAACCCTAAACTTCGAAAACCGAAAACCCTAAAACCTAGCACAACCCGACAACCACAAACCCTAAAACCCTGAAGCCCAAACCATAAGCCCCTAAGCCCAGAAACCCAAAACAAAGCACCCTTAAACCACCCCGAGGCGGAGAGCCTTCCGGCACTGCAGGACACAGGGTTTGGCTTAAGGCTTGTAGGTCTGCGGGTTTATGGTTGGGTTTAGGGCTTGGGGTGTACATCTGGTGCAAAACTTCGATGGTGAAAGGTTTTTATATAATAACATGTAGGATTAGGCTAATTAATGGCCAAGGGATTCCACAAAACTTTGCCGCAAAACAACAAGCCAGGCCATCCAATCTGAATTCCCCCGACCGCTAGCCGCAAGAATAACTCACGACTGCACGTAACCCGTGAAAGCCAAATCCTCAAACAAAAGGCCTTGTGTGTGATGCTGCTTCCATAGTCAAGTGCAGCCAAACAAAACTCTTTGACTTGGAATTTTCCGATACTTTCGGGTTTGGGGTTCAGCATTCAGAATGTGGGTTTAGGTTTCAGCTTGCTGCAGGACAGCAGGAAATGCAGTAGCTACTGCCCAGAGCAAAGCCTGTACTGAAGCCGGCAAGTATCTACACGGCCCGTCGAAGCCTTGCTTCTAGAAGTAAGCCAGGGTTGCCTGCAGCCATTTGCAGCAAATTGGCTTATGTCCGGTCACATCTGCACCCGCGGAAGACCTGAACATGAAACTTAGCCGACGTTGAATGCCACACAGTGCGTATGTTGCAGTACTTGCCGATCCAGCAATCGGCTGCGAGAGTTGCGAAAGAGCTTTCTTCAAGATAACTGCAGGTCGGAGTGAAATTGCTGAAGGCTTGGACCAGGTCGTGCCGGCATCAGAGCTTGTCGCGGAATCGCCATACACCGCCACGCCAGGAGGGAGACGTAGTTTTCGGAAGACGTTCCCCTGGAGCTGAAGCTACATCGAAACTGGGGGGACATCGCTGGCGGTTGCTTGTCTTCAGTCTTGTAAGGCAGTCGTGTTCTCAGGGCCGCACCCTCAACCTCATCAGCACTAAGCCTTGCAAGCCCTGAGCCCGATAAACCTCAAGCCCGAAGCCCCATAAGCTTCATTGGTAACATTGCTCCTCGAAGCTACTTGTGATCGTTTAACTAGAACGTACCCCGATGTTCTAATTGTGAAAGCCTCCTTATGTAAGTTAGAGTTCCTCAAGCCATAAACTCCAAAAGCCCTATAAACCCTCAACCCTA